CAGGCTGGAGTGCAATGGCGTGATCTCAGCTCACTGCAACCTCTGCCTCCTAGGTTCATTCTCCTGCCTCAGCCTCCTGAGTAGCTGGGATTACAGGCATGCACCACCACAACTGGCTAATTTTGTATTTTTAGTAGAGACGGGGTTTCACCATGTTGGTCAGGCTGGTCTTGAACTACTGACCTCAGGTGATCCACCTGCCTCAGCCTCCCAAAGTGCTAAGATTACAGGCATGAGCCACTGCACCCAGCCTCCTGTGCATCTTTGTATATGTCTCTTGCCCTCCCTGAGCCTCAATTTTCCAGTTTGTAAAGTGGGGCTGTTGTTGGCACTGCCGTGTGGTGGTGAGTTTGAGGGTTCTGTGAGGTTGGGGATGTGTGTAAAGGACTAAACATAAGTAGATCTCCACTCAGGGACCTGGACTAAGGCAGAGGGGCCTGGGCAGACCCCATTTCTCCAGGGTGACAAGGACAAACAGGAACCTTAACCACATCCCCACATAGACTCTGGTTTCTGTTTCGCTGTGGGTCTGCGCAACCTTCAGTGTCTGTGCTGAGGTCTGCAGCTGGGACTGGTGGGTGGGCTGTGGCTGGCATTGGTTCCAGGTCCTCCCCCACCCCCAGAGAGAAGTAGGAAGGTCTCTGATGGCAACCTCAATGCTCAGAATGGGCATTTCTTCAGAAAGGGGGTTTTACCAGGGCACACACAGGATTCACTGCTCCCCACATTGGTGTCCATCCAGCTACCACAAAAGGAGTCCAGGCAGCTCCCCCATTTGGGTCAAAGGAATACCCAGAGAGAGGGCACTGCCTCCCCACTATCCGAGATGTCATTCAAACCTCCCTTCCAGACCTGAGGATGTATGAGATGGCTGAGTCACGGCACAGCCACGATCTGTCAAGAGGCAGATGGAGAGGGAGGAAGAGGAGGACTTTGGTGGTGGGGGGTGGGGAACTGTCTGAACCGGGGATGGGGCCAACATACAGGCCTCGCGTTCCCCTTCCCTGGGCCCTAAAACTCTCTCCATCGAGGTGGGGCCACAGCGTGGCGCCAGGAGCAGGTTGAGGCAGCCAGCTAGGGTCTTTGGTCTCTAGTTTCTGACTCCACTTGGGTCCTCGCCTCCCCCTTGTCCCTGACAGTCCCAAGTCCCTGGATGTGGGTTGGGAGCGGGTCTCCCCGCGCGCCCTCTGCCGGACGACGAGGAAGGCACAGCTTGAGTGTGCGCTCCGAGCCTGGACCTGCCCCAGAGACGCCAGTCCCGGAGCAAAGCAAAGTCGCCGCCGCCGTCGCGGCACCCTGTATTATTATTTCATGTTTATTGCGCATCCTGGAGGGCGGGCGCCAGGCCAGCTGACCGCAGGCTGCGAGTGGGGTCCTCATCCTCCTGGGCTTGGGACCAGGCCGCTGTCCTCAGGTGCCACCCGCTGCCACGCGCTGCAGGGACTGCCGCCTGGAGGACAGGGAGGAACCTGGCCGAAAAGTTGCGTCCGTGGAGTTCCCGTCCCAGCTCCGCTCGCTTGCCCGGCAGGCCGAGGAACACTAGCATCCTTGGTTCTGCATGTCTGCCTGGGAAACCGAGACCACAGTACTTGCCCAAGGTCACACAGCGAGGAAGGGCAGAATAGGAGTTAAAAATGAGATCTCCTCCACTCCAGACTGCTCGGTAACGTTCGCATGGCCGCTGACTCGCTGTGTGACTTGGGGCCAGCGATTGTACCTCCCTGAGCCTTAGTTTCCTCATCAATCAAGCCAGGCTGAAAAATAAGAACTGCCCACCCCCAGGGCTGTGGTGAGGCTGATATGTTTGACGTAGGCGCTGGGCAGCCAGGAGCTGGTGTTCTGAGAAAGTACTTCCTCAAATGACATCAGCAGAGAGAAAGGGGGCGTCCCCCAAACCGCAAACCCGGATGGCGAGGAGGGTGCCCCATATTTTATTGGTAACAGATTGACTGCAGGCTCTTATGACTTTAGAGAAACTGGGGCTTTGGGCCTGGGAGAGCCACAGTCTGGCAGGGTGAGGACAGAATTGTGAGGGCATCTGAGCCCACTCTTCACTGTCGAGTATGAAGAGTTCAAATCTGCCGTCTCAGGTTCACGCCTGTAATCCCAGCAGTTTGGGGAGCCAAGGCAGGTGGATCATTTGAGGTCAGGAGATCAAGACCAGCCTGGCCAACATGGTGAAACTCCATCTCTACTAAAAATACAAAAATTGGCCGGACGTGGTGGTGGGCGCCTGTGATCCCAGCTACTTGGAAGGCTGAGTCAGGAGACTCGCTTGAGCCTGGGAGGCCGAGGTTGCAGTGAGCCGAGATCTGGCCACTGCACTTCAGTCCAGGTGAGAGAGTAAGACCCTGTCCTTAAAAAAAAAAAAAAAAAAAAAAAAAGACTGCCGGGCATGGTGGCTCACGCCTGTAATCCCAGCACTTTGGGAGGCCGAGGCAGGTGGATCATGAGGTCAAGAGATCGAGACCATCCTGGTCAA